AGATTTCATTTATTTATTTTGTGAGACAGAGAGAGAGCACGCGTAAGCAAGCATGAGTGGGGTGGGGGGAGGAGGGGCAGGGAGGCGCCCCAGTAAGATTTTATTTTTTTTTAAAAAAAGCCGTCAAATAGGGTAAAGGGTTAATATTTATTAAATCTGAGTTGGAGTAAAAGATATTGCTTATATTATTCTGTGTACTCTTGTGCATATTTAGAGTATTTCATAATACTAATTTTAAAGTTTGAAGTTCACTATACTTGTGAATACTAGAAAATCTTATTTCTGTACAAAAAGAAGTCTTTTAAAGCCTCAAGGGGTAGGGCTTTTAAAAACTGAATCTTTGTGGGCGCCTGGGTGGCTCAGTTGGTTAAGCAACTGCCTTCAGCTCAGGTCATGATCCTGGAGTCCCTGGATCGAGTCCCGCATCGGGCTCCCTGCTCGGCGGGGAGTCTGCTTCTCCCTCTGACCCTCCCCCCTCTCATGTGCTCTCTCTCTCTCCTCTCATCCTCTCTCTCAAATAAATAAATAAATAAATAAAAATCTTTAAAAAAAAACAACAACTGAATCTTTGTGACATCTAGTGGTAGCAGAAAGTTACAAAACACAATTAGAAACAAACTTGATTCAATGTACTACTAATCTCTGAATTCTTGGTTTAATTAAGCTTTCACACAATTTTAAAAGTTTGTGCTTTTGTTTTGATTTGTGTTCTCAGGGGTCCACACTTGAATTTTTTTTTTCACACTTAAATATTTTTAATGACACTTTGGAACATGACACTATAGTGTACATGTTAATTATGTGGCTCAGACTCTGGTCTCTTGAAAAATGTATCAATTATGTCACTTCTAGTGTCTCCCAAACAAGGGTCCCCACCCTGCCACCACACTCTGGGTCAGTGATGCCAGCAGAAAGGAGCTCCAAGCTACACACCCAGCTGGCCAGGCGCCCCTCCCTAGAACACACCTGCACCTCTGCCTGATGACCCCAGCCGTCAATGGCGCCACCAAGGTTCCAGATCCAGGCTCTTCCTACGCCCCCCACACCCATCCAATCAGCTTCCAAGTCCCCCTCTGGAATGTGCTCCACCCATCATTAATTTTCCCGACATCCCCTACTAAACTGTGGAATGATTTAGAGCAGAACCATTGCTCACACTCGTGTTCCCTGTCAGAACCTAGTACAGTTCTTGGCACATAGTAGATACATAATAAATGTTCACAGAATGATTTTCCACTGCCACAATCCAGGCTCATTAAGGCTTCATTACCTTAGCCCTAGACTAGGACAAGAGCGTCCTAAGCCTAAAGCATCCTAAATCCCATCAACTAAATCATCTTAAGACCTCTCTTTGTGACAGAACGCCACTTCCTCTCCCCTGTTCCCAGCAAAGCTGTTCCACACACAGATCTCATTTCCATTCCTGTCATCAGCAGACACGGTCGAGACTTCTGAGCTTGGGATTTAATGTGCTTCATGACCGCGTCCAGACGGACTTTCCTGAACCTCCCTCTCACTGTATCCCTGCCCAGACCTACTCTTCTTTAAGCTTCCTGCAGGCATTCCCATCTTCATTGATCTGCTCCCATTTGCCCTCCCCACCCACCATCAATTCTATACCTTTGCTCTTTTGTGGGTGCATTTTGTTCTGAGTCTTTCACTTCCATGAAGCTCTAAGTGACTTCTATGTAAAAAGTGAATAGCACTACCTACCAAACTTCCATCCTTATTTACGCTCTTGCCTGTATCCTTGCTCACCACCTGCAAGAGTGATTCTCAAAGGCATTGACCACCTCTCAGTCTGGGTTGTGCTCTCAGAAACTAGCTAAGTCCTCAGAGGGAAGCCAGCTCAGAGGGATTTGTTGAAATGAGAAGAATTAGGTAAAGGGTGAGTGGCCATTGATTGCAGTTGGGATAAGCCCTTATAATCTTTAGTCTGGAGGTAGCTGGTGTATGATTCTGAATAATGTGTTATATAAGATGATCTCTTATATTTTGACAAGTTAGTGGAAACAGTGACACCAGCAAAGTGACTAGCTAAGAAACCTACTACCTGTGGCTTTGGAACATGAGAGAAAAAGGAGCAAATACCAGGCTCCCTGTATTGGGCTCGAAGTATGATAACCGCAGAAGGGTCAAGGATGACTCCCACAGTATAGATTGGGCACTTGGACAATAATGAAGATACCTATCATACTAAAGAACTGAGGAGGGGGAAAAGCTTCTAAAAAAATAAAATCAGGTGCCTGGATGGCTCAGTCAGTTGAGCGTCTGACTCTTGATTTTGGCTCAGGTCATGATTTCAGGGTTGTGGGATTGAGCCCCACGTCAGGCTCTGTGCTGAGCATGGGGCCTGCTTGGGAATCTCTTTCTGCCCCTCCCTCTGCTTGAGCATGCTCTCTCTCTCAAAAATAAATGCATGAATAAATACATAAGTAAAAATAAAGTCAACTCTATTTTAGACATGGCTGTTTTCCAATGCTCTTAGTATACCCAAATACATTCAGCAGTTATGTCAAACAGCCCTGGGCCACAAAGCCAGCTCCAAGACTCATTAGCAAACAATTCTGAACAGTTCCTTTCTGAAACTTCGTTTCTCCACACATTCAAACCCAGGCTCATACCCACAATCCCATGAAATCTCGGTAGAGCCTCTGGCACGAAGAAGTACTCACCGTTGGTCCCCTGCCCTCTCCACCAGTTTTGAGCCTGATCCCTTCCCATCCAGTCACAAACCCCCTTCTGTCTTTTCCCAGTCCTTACAGTAGGTATCTATGCTGGACAATGGGCATTGACCCTATTCCTAATTTATAGTCAAGTTCCTTGTTAGGGCCACAGCCCTTCATAAAGACTGACTGCTTGGCTGGGCCAAACTCTTGCAGACACCTCTTCCGTGAGTTATCCCCCTCTGCTGTCTCCTCTCCTACCTTGAGTCTCCCCTCCCCCCACCGTTCCCTGGCTGGGAATTGGCTCTTTGAACAAGGTCGCTCACCTCCTTGCCTAGAGCCAAGTGCTGTCACCCAGCTGATGGCGAGCACGGGAGCCACACACTGCACTGCTGCTCACACTTGACCCCAGACCCCGTGGTCCTGTGATGGTCTACCAATCCTCAATTCTAAGGTGCTCCTGTTACCTACGGATCCCACTCTCCCTCTGAGTTTGTTATGGGCCACTAGAGAACAGGACTGAAGAACTCTGATGAAGATTCCACTTACCATCACAGTACCTGGCACATAAGACAGCAGAGCAATCACTTCCCTCCCTGTTGAGTGCTTACTAAGTGCGAGGCACTGCTGAATAAGCTTTCCATGAATTACGTCATTTCATCTGCAGAACGATGCTAAGAGGCAGGCACTAGTACTTATTGTCCAGATTAGGAAACTGACACACAGTACGCATCCATCAAGTGTTTGTGGAATGAGTGAGCTTGCAGTGGGCCCACAGAGTTGTCCGAAGGTCATTTTAGTGGTCCATTCCCCTAGCATAAGTTTTCAATGCATCCTCACTCAACTCCCTGACCAACCTCTGCCCTTCTCTCCTTCTTTACGAAAAGGATCAGACGGAGAGCATGTAAACTCTGCACTGCTTGGCTATCTCAAATGTTCATCCTTTTTGCTTAAAATGTCTTTCTCTACATTTTCTCCCTCCTGGAAGAAGACATCATTTTGAAAGTGCTCTCCTCCCCATGTGAGTTTTGTCTCACGCCTAATACTCCTTGGACCCCTGCTCGAACCCTCCTGAGCCACACCTTCATTCTCTACTTCTTGGTTCATCAATTCTCCTATTGCCAGAGCACAAGCAGAACCTCACCTCTCCCATGAAGAGAATCCCTGCTCAACCCTGCTACATCCTCAGGTCACTCTCTCTCCATCACCAAATGTCTCCAAAAGATAACCTCAGTCTCCTTCTCTTCATTACCAAAATCCACGCCCTTAACCACACGATCGGAATTTCACCTCCAGATCCTTAATGGAAACTTGTGAAAAGTTCTCAAAGCCATCCTGGGTCTCTTCCCCCACATCGTTCCCTGGTCTCAAGTCCAGACCTTGGAGGCTGGTGTCCAGGCCCTCCCCAATCTGGTTCCTAGCCATCTCTCTTTGGCCTGGTTTCCTTCACATTTCCTTGGGTTTTCACACATTCAAAACTCACCTCTCCTTCAAAGTTCCTTTTGAAATGCTCTCCCTTTCATGGAGCTGCTCAAATCATAACTGTCTCTAAATTCTTAGCTTCTATTTGTACTTCTATTTAGTGCCTATTAGATGTGCACACAAGCTGTGCTTGCCAAGTACACAAAAACTCTGCAAGGCAAAGGTCACGCCCTATCCTATTTCCCATAGTAAATGGCAGTGCCAAGACCAGGGTAAGGCAAACAGGGTGCCTCGGCAGCAAAAATTAAGAGGCACTCACCCTCAGGTTTGGATTAACTACAGAGTCAGCACTTACATTTGGTACCCTGGGTGCCTCACTAGCCCCACGCTGGTAACTACATGTGACTCTTTGACATGGATTGAAAATAAATGAACCATAAACCAATGAATCAGTAAGATGATGACAGTGTAAGTACTTCAGAAGGTGATTCCTTATCTTCAATGTCAATGAAATTGGGGATAAGTGTAGAATGCAATCATAATCAGTGAGACAGGAAGGCAAGGCTGCCAGGGAATATCTAGGAATATAAATAAAAACACCAGGAATACTCTCCCCTCTTCTTCCACAAGATGCCATCATGTCTGAATATGGTACCTGGAATTATTTACTGCAGCCGCACTAGGAACAGCCTGGGGATGAAACCAATAGAGAGCAGAAAGGCAGAACCAAGAGAGAGGGAGCCGGGCCTGCCCATTCTCTGGACTTCTCATGGGAGACAATGGATCATTGTTATCAGCCTGTTTCCAGCCAGGGTTTTCCGTCACTTAGTTCAGCCAAAATAATACTGATATGGTGTCATTTCTCAGGAGAGAAGTGTGTGGCCGAAGAGGAAGTCAGGCGCCTGCTGCACATTTTCTTCCTTCTCCCAAGAGAAGGATGAATGGGTCAGGGGTAAACCTGGCCTCTGAACTCTTGCTCCTGAAAGCCTCAGGGGTCAGAACTGGCCACAGCCCCACCGTGCTCCTGTCCCCGATGTGAGAAGCAGATCGGGCAGGCTCTCCAGCTGACCCAGAGAGAATGATATTTCTCCAGCTGCTTTTCTTCAAACTAGCCAGAAGGAATAGGATACTGAGCTTCGGCCTGGTGTCCGAAGTACATCCTCTGATGTAGTTTTAGCGTTTGTAAAGTTGATTCTTTGATTCCCATTTGGCCCATTCTGCCTGGTTCCAAACAAGTTAAGAGATAGAGGTCATTATATACCCCCAAATTCTTCTCAGAAAGTAATCATGTTACATTTCACCAAATTAGGAAAGTGGAGAAAGCAAAGACGAACAGTTATTTTTATGAGAAAAATTCTGTGGCATTTGAACTTTGGTTTCAGGCAAAGGTGGACTAACAGGGGCAGGACTTGCCCTCATATGTGAAACAATGAAAAACCAGCACAAACACATGAGACAACAGCTCTTAGGACAGCAAACCTAAGACAGCAAATGACAGTGAGCTCTGAGGAATGGGAAACAGAGTGTTCCCTATAGCTGGGCCAGTGCACAGCCTTGTGAGTGTTGCCAAGTTATATCGCAGGGGAGGAGAACATACAGGAAGACCGGTGGTCTCCTTGAATAAGGAGAAAGAGCTGGGAGTCCAGGGATACCTCCGGAGGGTCCCCCCCCACCCCAAGTCATCAGCTGAGTAACAAACACATGGGTATGAGGAAAGGATAAGCTAAGAACCTCTGAAACAATTAGAGGGTGTACCCATGGCTTGAAGAGAGCTGGGAATAATTTCCCTTGCTGTCAATCCTACCTCAATAAACTGGCTCAAAAATAAAATTAAAAAAAAATAAGTGTATCTTTCCACAACTGAAGTGAAAATTCTCATAGTTCACTCAACATTGGGTAGTACACCCAGAGAGTGTTGCCTTGATGGTGGGGCAAAACCAGCCCCAGACTCCATTCTCTTCTGGTACCACTTAACAGAGCTTAAAAGCAAGACCGGAAAGGATCAAACTATTTATGAGTACCTTAATGACATCCAGAAACAAAGCACAAAAATATTCATAGGAATAAAAATATCCAACACCCAAGAAGATAGAATTCATATCTAATCAAAAATTACCAGGTATAGAGAAAAGTTGAGAAAAAAAGTTTCATCTCCTTTTTCACCCCATTCTACCTCCTCTCTCTTGTGCCCAGATCTGGCTGGAAGCACTTCCAACAAGACTACCCCCTACCCCAGAACCACAGCACTCCCCCCTGTGACTAGCCAATACAGACTCTTGCTGTCAAGCCCCAACATGGGACTGGCCTGGGCTATGCTGAGCTCAAGGGTCCTCTGAGACTGCCCTTCCAGCCCCAGCCCTCTATGAGGGCGCCCTCATAGCCTAGGGCCTGAGGGACACTGTGCTCTCTTGCTCCCTTAGACACACCTGCCCAGGTAGATGGATACAGGTCAGCCATGCTGGGAGGCACAGTGCCTGATAGCTTGACTGACCCAGAAACCATCTCTCCAGGGCACCTGGGACTTTTTTCTAAAAAACATACAGAACTGATAGGCAAGATAACATTTCTTTTTAATGAAACCAATATTTCCCCCCCTTTTTCTCTTCTGGTTTAAGCAACTAGGCTGCTCTATTCTCATTGCCTCAGGAAAGGTATGTCATAACCAGAAGCAAATTATTATTTTTTTAAGAAGGCTCTTCCTGGCATTTATGTCTCCATGTCTATACCCTTTCTTAAAGAACAGAAAGGATTCATAATAGAGATTTAGATTTGGAAGGATTTTATAAAGGAAGCAATGTTCTCCCTAAAGTTTAAGGCTGGGCCTGAAACTTCTGAGGAGCCAGGAGAGCTGCCAGGGCCCACGGATGACCCAGTGCCCACTCAAGGAAGCCCCCTGCATGGCCTGTGTCCAGCGAGAGCTCCCCTCAATAGCAGCACCAGTACTTTTGCCCACTGGCTGCTCCCAAAGAGAGGCTGCTTCTCTCTACCCCAGCACTTTGCATCCTTCCCCATCCAGCCCCATTACTAAGCATGGATTAATGGTCCTACAAAGTATTGCTGCCTAGCAACCTGGGGAAATCTTTGTGGTCCACTTCCGGGTGGGGTGGGGGGAGGCAGGATTTAAAGCAAGTTGAACACTCCTGAGCCCTGCACAGTGGCAGCCCCTTTCACTCCTCCCAGACCAGAACTTTCACCTCAACAATTTTGTTCTCACGCAGATGCACACATTCTTTTCAGCTCATCTCTCATTTGCCCCTTTCCATTGTTTGGGCCAACTCTCTCTCCTGCCTCAGAGGAATCCTACGAATAACCAGTTGCATTGGGGAATCCAAAACAACCTTTTAAGGCTACCCATGAAGCCCATTTATAAAGCTGACTTTAGAGGGGAAAAAAATACAATTGAGAACCTCATGTTTTGAAACTTGAAACAAGCAGAAACATTTATTGCTCTTAGGTTTGTTGATCCTACAAATCTTGATCAATGTTTAATGCAACCTAAAAGCAAAATAAAAAGTAAATACGATTTAATACAGTCAGAGCTGTGACTATGTAAATGAAGCTTTTTGATAGTTTTAAGTTATTTCAAGTAAGATCCAAGCAAATGTTGTTAAGCATTTATTTATTTTTTTTAAAGATTTTTTATTTTTTATTAGAGAAAGAGAGTACAAGCATGGGGAGCGGCAGGTAGAGGGAGAGGGAGAAGCAGGCTCCCCGCGGAGCAGGGAGCCTGATGTGGGGCTTGATCCCAGGACCCTGGAATCATGACCTGGGTCGAAGGCAGCCGCTTAACTGACTGAGGCACCCAGGCGCCCTTCTCAAGCATTTATTAACCCATCCTTTCTTCTACTTCTCTTGCTCCCCTTTCTTATTGTTATCCTTCTGGCATGGGGTCTTCTTCCTGGATCCACCCCTTAAATGATGGAATTTCTAATGCATTCGCTGGAACCTCATCCTGCACAGGCTGCACGCTCTCCTAGGTACCTTACTCCCTGCCTCTCCTAGCCCCATGTAGCACATAGCCCCTAACTGCTGCCTTTCCATCTCCTGCCTGGACCTTTCTCCTGTCGTCTGGACTGGTATCCCACATCAACTGGTCTTTAGCCAATTATATCTGCTTGTCTCAGGGTCACCTGAAATTCAACATGTCCACAAATGAAGCCATCATTTTCACAAAACCTACTTCCTCTTCTTACTTTCCTCAACTCAACAAATGATTAAGCTCTTATAGTCCAGTTGCCCATGGCAGAAATCTGGGCATTCCCCTTGACTTCCTTCTGTCCCTCATCCTCCCAGCCAATATCGAATCCACCTGGTTCTCCCCATCTCTGCTGTCTATACCCTGGTCCTAGCCCTGGTCGGTCATCCTGCAGCTGGACCACCGTAAAACCTCCTAAGGGGTCTCCCCTTTCCACACCTGCCCACTCAAATCCTCTCTCCCTCCTCTAAAATCACCTCTCCAGTCCTTACATAGACCCTTTCAGTAACTCCTGTTGCCCTTGACATACAGAGCACAGTGTAATGTGGCCTATAGCCACCTCTCCAGCTTCGAGCCACACAACCTCCCAGCTCGTGCAACCCAGCCATAGAGCTCAACTACGCCAGCTCCTTGACAGCATCTTGCTCTCTTCCATCTGCTGCGCTTAGCTCAGGCTAACTCCTCAAGCATTGTTTCCTCAGGAAGACTCATCCAGGCCAGGCCCCTCCTCTCAGTGCACCTGTCCCCCAGCCCGAGCCCCCAGAGGGCAGGGACCCCATCTGTTCTGTTCACTGGTATTCGCTAGCTCCCTGCATGGTACCAAAACACCGACTTTTAATAAAAACGTCTCTACTCACTGATTAGCACCAAGCCCTTTCAGCACCCCCTTCTAGACAGCCCGCCAATGCCATCTCAATCTGGATTACTGCACTGGCCTCCTAACCGGTGTCCTCACATCTCTCTCTCCATCCTTCCCTCTGTGCTGGCCTTTCTAAAATGCTGATTGCTGATTGCATCAGCCTCCACTGCTTTAGGATAAAATCTACATACTCATCTGGGCACAAATTACCAAGCATTTTATGGCCTGTTCCTGCTCCCTCCCCTGCCTGGCCTCCCCTCCCTCACTGCCTCACACTCCCCACTCTGCCCTGGGTAGGGGATCTCATACTGGCTGTGCTCTCAGACCCTCCCCCTCCCACCCCCAGCAACCAGTCACCAGCTTCCTACAGGAAGCCTTCCCTGATAGGGCTCCTCCAGTGGGCTGGCTACCCCACTTTGTCAGTGCACATGGTTAGGTCACTAAATATACCCTCAGCCCAGACAGTCCTGGTGTATACCCGCAGATCTGGCTTAGTTATTAACAGCTCCCCTGTTCACTCTCAAAACCTACTTCTCTGGCTGATAAATCACTTGATCACTCTAGCAATGACTATTAATTGCTTGTCCGATTGTCTGCCCCCCCCGCCCCCCGTCCCCCAGACAAGGTAAATAACTATGTGTTTTATGCACAACAGCATCAGGCACAGTGCCTGGTACATAGAAAACACTGTATGTTTATTAATCAAGCAAATGTACTTGTATACTGTAAAAGCATGCACTTTCATTAGGATACTTATCTGGTTCTAGTGTTTGCCACCAAGAATCAATTAGCTGTCCCACCCCCACCCCGGAAATTTAACTTAAAGATTATGTATTTCACCAAAGGATTTTAAATATATATTTTGAAGAAATTTTGAGATTTTCAAAGCCTAAGCCCAAAATATATAAATCACCTTCTGCCCAAGGGCACACTGTGACCAGCTCCTCTCCCATCAGTGCTGACACATTTGCAAGGAGCCAGATATGTACCCACCCTGACCCTTGTGGCTGGCAGCACACGCTCACCAAAGGGCAGAAGGCCCATCAGGAATAGATGGTCAGCACCCAGGGAACTGATTTTCTTTCTCTGACGCTAAGGGCCCATTTGCCAACCAACCCTGGCCTCCTATGCACTAGGCGTTCCCAAAGTCCAAAAGAAAATCTGTTTTTTGCCAACCACTTTCTTGAAGATACTTACATCAGATAGTATCGGCTCATCAAGTTCTTCCACTCTGCTCAGGTTAGGTGCCCCATATCGATCACTAATTTCAGCTAGTGTTTTGCCTGAGTCTGATGTTACATCCTACAATTGTTAAAATTCATTTCTAATTTTAAACAAGTTCAAAAGTAAGACATTAATTTTCTTTTGATTTCGCTAAGAAATGTCTGAATTATAACATCAAAATTCAACGTTAACAGAATGCACCACTACCTGTTAATAGAGAATTCTAGAAATAAATGCTAAAACTTAATTAAAAAGTACAGTAAGAAATCTAAGATATATCATTGTAAGTAAACATATGGTCAATGAATATCTCATGACATTCTGGTTTTTAAAAATACAAACAGAAACCGAATGTCTCATTTTTATCCACTTTGAGATATTGCTTTAAAGCACATCGTACTTGTGAATTTTTGTTACGAGAACACACACTTGGACTATCAATTTTGATAATTTCCTTATAAAAAGTTTAGCTACTAATGCATCAATGTTAAGCTTTGCCTTCTAGGACACTCATTCATTTCACTTAACACAGAATAACTTTTCCTTCTCACCTCTGAATGTGAACTATCTTCACTCTTAGCTATATTTTCTATATTCATTCTCATCTCCTATAATATATAAAAATGAAGAAAAATATTTGAACACACTTTCCGTTTTGATTCCATGTTTTATTTTCAAGAAGTCTTATTTTTACATAATGCTGTGATCAATTTAACAGCAAATAGGTCATCACTCTTAAAGGGGTGATGTGATACATTTAGTACAAAACTGCAACTCGCAGTCTCATTTAACACTCGCTACTAATAGAAAGCTATGTTTTATTTATAATTAAACACAACGCCTTAAAAAATGAAATGATCTGAAACGTTAAACCTGAAGCCAAATTATTAGCCAATGTGACAAGTGACAAAACAGAAACCTTTCTTCTCTCATTTTACATCACTGAATCTTCGCTGAAGAGAAAGGGGGTCTATATCTCCATGGATTTATGGGCATATGCGCATGCGTGTATATCTTAGCACACCCTACCGCACTCCGACTAAGATAAGCTCGACACCCCTGTTTTTGTTAACTACATGTTTTTTTAAACTATGTATATGGCTTTGAATTTCTCTTTTTAAGAATCTCATTTTAAAAAAGTGCTTTACATAATGATGTTCTCGTCTAAGCCATGAATACCCATATTTTATAAAACCTACTTCTGTTTTTAATCTTAATTATGGAATAAAAGAGGAGTCACATATGAACAAGAGAGACCGACCGGCTGGGGGGCGCCTGGGTGGCTCGGCCGGTTAAGCCAAATACCCTCACTATTGCAAAGAACTTAACCTTGCACACCTGCTACCCCAGTTACAAACAGCTGTGCCTGGATTGGAAGGTTGCAGAGCAGTTTTACACATATGACCGTAGCTGATCCTTACAACAAACCAGTGAGAGACTGTTAGTAATATATTACACTGTTATCCCTCTTTTTCAAAAAGGCAAACTGAGGTTGAAAAAGTTGTAAGACTTGTCTCAGCCACGCAGCTAGTGGGTGGCACGTCTCTGAATCCCACGTTATAACAGCTGCAAGAAATACTTTGAGGGTTCTATGAGGTTTTAAATAAAACAGACTTTTTCTTTCTTTTTTTTATAAAACTTCAAATTACCGTCTCTAATTGTTCTTGAGCTGTCTGTAGTTCTTCTATTCTTTGTCTCTCTTTCTCTTGCATTTCCAACTCCAGCTGGAACTCCAGCTGTTGCTGAATATTCAGAAATAAATAAGTCATATTAGCATCAGATCAACTGCAAGGAATTAACTCTAATCACTCTGAAATGTCCCCGGATAATCAAGTTTATACCTACCTAAATTTCAGAAGCTTACAAGAACAAATGATCACAGCCGCCTAATATTTTAGCTTTTACAAATATTTCCTGAAGTCTAACATAAAAAAGGAAGCTTCTTTAACCGCTAATTGGTAGCAAAGCACAATTTGTATAAAATCAAGTTATTTTCTCTGTTCTTCTTGAAGCAACAAATGAGATTGCAGTACTTTTTTTTTTTAGATAAAATCCTTTCAAGCATAGATGGGTGTTCAAAGAGCCAAACCTTAGTTGCAGAAGAGTGCATGAGAAAATCTTAAGTATATTATGCGAAACTATAGATAATCAAAAATATACTGGTCCCAACTCAACATACATGCCACACTAGAATAAGGGTCAGCAAACTAAATTCTGTGGGCCAAATCTGACCCAATCCGGTATTTGTACAGCCCATAAGCTAGGAGAGGTATTACTCTTTCAAATGGTTGAAAAATATTGAAAGAATAATAGTATTCCTGACACTATAAAAAATTCAAATTTCGGTGCCTATAAATGAAGTCTTATTGAAACACCATCATGTTCATTTGCTTATTTGTTGCCTGTGACTGTTTTTGCACAATAGTACAGCTGAGTGGTTGCAACAGGGACCATAGATGGTGCTCTCATCCCTTTGTTGCTCAGCGTGCTACAAATCACAGTGACATTGTTTTATCTCAGTAGTTCTTGGAGTGCCACGGTATCCCTACACCATGACAGTTTTTAAATTGGTGTGTACCCATCATGCCATAACAAGAGAAGAAGTGGACTTTGAATGGTGCCCCTTTAAGATACAGTGGAGAGTATTTTATTACCAAATTAAACGGCAAAGTATGGTGTTTATTAAGCAAGAATACTTTACTAAAAGAATGCAATAAACATCAATATTACCAGACTAAACACTTACCATCACAGTATTCTCAACTCACATGAAAACAAAGGTCAGACATATTAGAATATTTTAAACAGAATTATTTCATCATAGTAAAATTTCTTCACAAAAATTAAAAATAAAAATGAGGCTGCAACGAAAGCAAGTTTCCAAGTGGCTCATTTGTTAGCCAAGCAAAGAAGTTCATTTCCCAATGGTGATTTAATTAAAACATGTTTGATTTCAGTGTTCCCGAAAAAAATAAACTTAAATTAAGATTATTAGCCTTTTGGCGAAAACAGTTGCTCAAAGAGTTGATGACACTGGGAGCAACATCAACAGTCAATTAAAAACAAGGCAAATTATTTTGAGCAATTTTCCTTGGCTCTTGATGGGTAGACAAATGTTCCCAACACTGTTCAGTTGTTGTTGTTTACTGGTATTAATGCTGAGTTTGAAGTGACTGAAAGATCAGCCTCTATGAATAGTCTTCATGGGACAACTACAGGCAAGAGATATTTTCTTTATCTTCTTTCTTTCTTTTTTTTTTTTTAAGATTATTTATTTATTTATTTATTTGACAGAGAGAGAGACAGCAAGAGAGGGAACACAAGCAGGGGGAGTGGCAGAGGGAGAAGCAGGCTCCCCGCCGAGCAGGGAACCTGATGCGGGGCTTGATCCCAGGACCCTGGGATCATGACCTGAGCCGAAGGCAGATGCTTAACGACTGAGCCACCCAGGCGCCCCTTTCTTTCCTTTTTTTTTAACAGAGGGAGTGCCTGCATGCACTGTGGAGGGGAAGGAGGGAGAGAATCTTATGCTGGCTCCACGCTCAGCGTGGAGTCCAACCCGAGGCTTGATCCCACAACCCTGACATCATGACCTGAGATGAATGAAATCAAAAGTCGGACTGAGGCACTAAGGCGCCCCAAGAAATATTTCCAAAGAAGTTGAGAAACATTAATTCAGTACAACCAGCAGTTAAACCTGCTAAGATGTGTTACAACCAATGGTGATAAAAAATGTGTGTGGAACAGAAAGAGGCTTAGTTGGACAAATTTACAAAGCTTGTGAAAATGCAGTGTTGAAAGCCTGAGGGTATTCATTGTATTATTCAACAGCAGGTGCTCTGCAGAAAATGCTTGAATCTATCATGTGCTATTGAGCCAGCAGTCCCGACAGTGTCCTTCATTCATTCTTACGAATGCAACCATCATCAGTTCTGTGGATTTTCGTCAGAAATAGAAACTGCATAAATCTTGGCTTACCCCAGCACACAGCGGTTGCCTATGGCTTCACAGTGCTGACATGTTACTGTGCATTGTGGGGCTCAGGACCAAGACTGAAATTTTTCGGAATGAGGAGAATCATTCTCAATCACTATTATCAAACCTTAAATGGCTTTGGAAATAAGCTTTGCTGCAGACTTAATAATATTTTTAAGTCAATTCAAACTAAACTTACAAGGCAAATAGCACTTAAACGTAAAACTTAACACCTGGGGAAAGCCATTTCAACAACCAATGTTTGAATCACCATGTCAAGCTGCTTTATACACTTCCCATGTGGTCAAAACCTAAAACAAGAAACTAGATCCCCCCCATTCCCACACAAATCTGCAGCAGGTATATTTCCCAAGTTCAAACTATAGGCCCAGAGTATTTTGTGGCCTTGATTTCAGTGCAAAGGAAATTTCCATATCCCCAAATCCAGTTAACTGGGTAATTGAGAAGCTTTTACCAACCTTCAACTGGAAGTAATTAATCTACAAGGTAATGACATGCCAAAAGGCAAAACAAGATAAAAATCTAATAGAATTCTACATATGCATTCCAAGAGATAAATATGGTCAAAATTATATGCACATGGACTGATATCAGCATTTGGCAGGACTAACCTCTCAGCTATTTTCAAAGAGGAAATACTAAAATCTCATTACAGATCAGCATTAACAGATAAATGTTTTCAATCAATTTTGATGATAGGGAACGTTTTGAACTCCAACTAAATGAAATGTTATCTCTAAAAAAATAATTTAATTCTCCTCAGAAGTAAGCCTATATTCTAAAAGGAAAATTGTAGTCAATTATTATTTTTAAAAAATTTTTATTTCATCGATGTAAACTTTTGTGGAAATTTGTTCTCTCTTGCTATATCTACATAATATACCATAATACATACATGTCCCAGTATGTCTTGCAAATGCATTTTAAAAAAATAATATATTTTTATAAATAAAGAGATAATAAACAGTGGTTACTATTTATTTACAGAAGGTTGTTAAAGGGAATTTCTTGGTAACCCTGTATTATCCACACTGGGATAAAAGTGATGGGGTAGATCGTTGAAGTGAAAGAACATAGCATTCGATCCACTTTTCAGAAACTGGTGGAGGAAGTGAAATGACTAATCTCTCAACAGCACTGCAAAATGCAGTTGTTAAATACCAACCACATTGGTCAACAGAACCAGTTTCTTAACATTTTCAGGAGAATTTCAAAGCTCAATTCCTTTCTTCACACAGGAGTAAAACCATTAGAAATATACTCCAACAAATCAAACAAACAAACCAAAAAGCTTTTACTTGCTCAGTGAGCTCTTAGGTAGAAAATGGCAGTCAAAGTACTTCTCTGTTCACAGGGCCCTGGGCTTACTAGAGACTGACTAAACTTTCAAGGAATTTCAAGTCAATGGTACTGACTGTGAGAACAACAGGCAGGGGACCAGAGTCCTGACACCCCAGCTCACTTGACTCAATGGTGGGCTCAGAACACCTGTCTCTTTGCATCTCTGGCTCACTCTCTCTTAAGCTCTTCTCCAGTGGACCTTCTCTCCACAGGTCCCTTTCTCCTTCTCTCATCTATTTCTGGCCACTACACTGTTTCTTTAATGGGTCATAAAATCTTCTGCAGCCTGTTATTGCCATCTTCCACTCTGGAGCCAATGCTCAGGGTTCAGTGCCCAGGGGATCCCTTCATACTGATCAACACAATACAGCTAGAGAAGTGCTTGATTTCTACTATTGCCAAATTTTACCTAAGTAAGATAAAGTAGATGAGCCAAAGAAAGTCAAGTACCCCCACATTTGTGATGGAATTGTCTTAGGGAAGAACTGCTGAGTTCTCCTCATTCTGACAGGGGACAGATACCAGCTGTAGAAGCTATAAGAGGAAGGGCAGATTCTCACTCAAAGTTGGGGCAATTCTGCAGCAGACGCTCACCCATTTGGATGATTGTTTGACACCCAGCTCAATACTCTGCAACCTCCCCATAAGAATAAACCAAACAATTGAAAAATGAAGATTCAGGAGCAGTAAAGTTTTCAACAGCCATATCCATCTCGGGTGCCTAAAAAGTTCTACCCCAGTGTCAGGGATGAGAGGTTAGGCAGAGAAGCTATTTGCCATGTCTATATTTTCCTTTTTATCCACACACCCAAATAACAGGCTTCTTTCCCTTTTACAAGTGTATAGATTTGAGTCGAGACTATGTGGTAGAATGAAAGGGATAACAAATTTCAGAAGCTCTCCATAAAATAAATTAGTCCAAAAGCCACTCTGGAACTTTCCCTATCTAGTTTACAATCCATGACTCATCCCTGAAACCATTCTCTTACCCATATCTTCAGCTCCCCAATCTTGCTACCCCAAACCTACTTCAATCAAAAGTTCTGCCCCTTCCACATCGTCACTCAAATCTCTAGGCCTAAGTGGAGAAAATCACAGAATCGTAAAACCAGACCAAATGGCAACATTATAAATGTCTGGTCTCTAACTCTGACAGGGTACTCAATGCTACCAAGTAAAGCTAAGTTTCCCGGTCAACTCTACCATTCTTCAAAGTTACCATTTCAAACCCTCCCCACTCTCCTCATACCTGCCACTTTATCACCTCATTCTTGGAAGATGATCACAGTCCCTACTTCATAAAGAAGAAAGAGTCATACAGAAACTGTTTTAAACCTTGTGCCACAAAACCTATACATCCACATGTACCTAGACCATCCTCTCCCTATCTCTTAACATCAATCATCCTCTGGCCTCTGCTCCCCCCCCCAAAAAAATACCAACCTCCTTCCCTGAAAATCTCCTTGAAAGCATTACCTGCACTCACCATCCCCCCTGTTCTACCCCACCCCATGCACACTGCTCCCTCCAAGGTCACCAGTGGTCTTGAATGAGCACTTTACTGTCTTGCTCTCACTCAACCAGCAGTAGGCATGGTTGACCCCTTGGGTCTCTCCCCATGGCCTCCATGAGAGCACACTCCCTGGGTATTCCTTCCACCCCACTGCTGCTGTTTCTCCAGCAAAGAAGACACAGATACATAAATACAGAAACAAGAAGATGTAAGAGAGCCATTCCTAACTCATTAGAGATAGGGAGTTTTTCAACATTTGGGTTGCACCACACTGAGGCGGACACCGCTAACTCCAGTCACCCCTGAACTCCCGTGCTTGTCTCACCTGCTGGAACAGGAGCTCCTCTGCTTTGAGCCTCTCCATCATTTCCTGCTCTATCACAGCTAGTTCTCTCTCACGCTCCAAGTCGACCATTTCCTTCTGTCTCTAGCAGTGTTTAAAAACAATGTCACGTGACTAATTTGAGATAGAACAATTTTATAATAAAAACAGTCTTGAAAACATGTTAATCACCAACAAGAGGGAAAGGGGAAGCAAATTTTACTCTACCCCATTTAGAAAATGTGTAATAATTTGGGGAAATGTGTGTTTTATTTGAACAAAGAGCATAAAATTAAAATTATACCCTGGGTATGATCACAATTGTGTAAAAAAAAAAGTCTACAAATGTATAGAAAATCTATAGAAAAAAGATTAGAAGAAAATACCTAAAAATCTAAAAAGAGGTCTTCTGTGAAGTATTTTTTTCTTCTTTCTGTTTTTTCATATTGTCCAAGTTTTTCATAATAAATGTACTACTTTTATAATAGAAATAACATTGAACTTCTTAAAAAAGCAGACAAGTGGAAACAATTATTTTACGCTTCTAATTTTCTTTTTTCTTTTTTTTTAAGATTTTATTTATTTATTTAACAGAGAGAAACAAAGCGAGAGAGGGAACACAAGCAGGGGGAGTGGGAGAGGGAGAAGCAGGCTTCCCGCGGAGCAGAGAGCCTGATGCGGGCCTCGATCCCAGGACCCTGGGATCATGACCTGAGCTGAAGGCAGATGCTTAACGACTGAGCCACCCAGGTGCCCCTATGCTTCTAATTTTCTAAAACAAGATCCCTACTTACCAGTTGCTCCGTGGTCACATTTTCCTTATATTTGTAAATCCACAATGCTAAATATTCTATTGGATCCACTGGGCGAATTCTTGCCACTTCTGCAAGACCTTGAGTTAGACATGTCCCAAGGCACTTCTGAAGATATATCGACTCCATTTCTCACCTCTGACTTCTAAAAGGTAAATGTTTTTGCATTAATGCAGGGAATGTTCAATAAAGCACAATAAAAGTAGAGTCCAATGAGGCCAACAAAGCATTGCACCCTGTCATGGGCACCTCCCATCAGGGATGACACAAGCAAGCTGGCTCCATGAAGCTTCTAACAGTTTCCAAAAAGACTCCACAGATGTCACAACAGCTACCACTAAGATGTACTTTCAAAATCCTGATGGCTCTCAAGGCCAAGAGTCAGAAAAGAACAACAAACAAAACCCCAAACCAGCAAAGGGAAGGAAATAACAAAGATTAGAGCAGAAATAAATGATACAGGAACTAAACAAACAAAAAACAATGAAAAAGAAAAGTCAGAAAAAGGGATACCGTCATTATTGTGAGATGGCTACATGCCAAGCAGTGCATGTCTCACTCGATCCTCACAACGTGGGTAATAAATCACTGTCATTACCCCTGCTGTGTAGATGAGGAAGCCCAGGCACAAAGAGCTTATAAGTCAACATGGTGAACATGGGATGCATATCCAACTCGTGATTCCAGAGTCATTATCTTAATGATTCAGATGTTCCTCCCAAGCCATGAGGGTCAGTTTTAGAAAACATCACAATACTCTACCTCAAAAAAACACAAAAGTCCATGAATCTCCAAGGACAAAGGATAAAAAAAAAAAAAATTCAACCATCAAAGAATAGCATATGAAGCTCCTCACACTTTGGCCCCAATTTCTTCTCAGGTACCTCCAGACATCTCTTCTGCCTCCAGCATATCCCGGGCTCTAACTACACTGAACATTCTGCCATTCTGCCAGTCATACCTTGCACACTTCCATCTCCAAGACTTTTGCACATAATTATTCCTCACTATCTCCCAGCTTAGATTTATCTCATCTGCAAAATGTAGGTCATCTCTCATTCCCTGAGCCTTCCCAAGCAATGCAAAGGAAATCCTCCTTCTCTAAGCAACTCACACAGCACCTGTCATCCAGTCTGAGAATCATCTGTGTACACACACATCTGTCCTCCCAAGACAAGTTCCTCCAGCTCCTCAAGGAGTGTGTTTTAATCACAGGGTGGGCACACTGGCTTCCCATGGAGGCAAGTGAGTGAGTTTCTCCACTCTCCCAGTAATGTTCCAGTATATTCAGTTATGAAGATGGACAGGAATAATCTTAGACCAGATTTGAAGGAAGGAAAGAAGGAAGGAAGGAAGGAAGAAAGAAAGGAAGGGGAAATGTAGCAACCACTGTACTTCAGGTGCTTTGAAAAAACTGATCACCCTCAAATTACCCTTATGGTATCCAGTCATTTCTAAGAATCTAATGAAATGTATTCATTATTCAACAAATATATACTGAGTACCTGCTCTAGGTCAGGCATGAGCTGAATATGAAGGAATAGAATGCCAGCAGGTCTAGTCCTGTCCCTGTACAAATAAATGCACTGAACATTCTGCATAAAATTTCAGAAACAACAACCTCCTGAGGTTCATAAACCCCAATAGTGCTCTCTCTCACTTGATGGTGGTGAGCGTATCAATTGGTATAGCCCCCACAGAGAGGAATTTGGCAGTATCTAGAAAATTACATAGATATTTACCCTTTGAACCATCGATCTCACTTCTCACATGTTAACTTGCAAAAATACAGAGTGATGATATATGCACATAGTTATTTTGCACCGTTACTTGAAATAGTCAAACTGGAACCCCATCCAAAAGTTCATCCTTAAGGGACTGATGAGATACAGCCACACAATGGATTACTGTGCATGTATATTATATAAAAGACATGAAGAAGATCTCTAAAACAGGGAGTGATCTCTAGGACATAGGGTGAAGAGAAAAAAAAGCAAGATGCAGAAATTGTAGATAGTATGCCACCTTTTGTATTAACAGCAGTGGGGAAAGGAATGTGTATGTGTGTACATAAATGTAGTCATAAAAACTTAAACTCTACAAACTGGCACGAATGAACTGAATTTCCTTTCAAGCTGGCATTGGTGTCTAACCATACAGAGAGAAGGATTAGAGTATTACAAACGAGTTTGAGACACAGTATCTACACTGTGCTTCTTCAACGGGATATACTCTCAAGACAAAAATAACTGCAGTGACATCTCAATGTCATCTGAAACGTAAAACAGGTTTCCTGCTGCTGTTCCAGAAAGATAATACATGGGAAAGGGACCATGTCCCCAAGGGAGAAACCTCTGGCCTGAGAGTAGCATCCGATCCGATCGAGGGTCTGTCTCAGATCTCTGCATAGATTAGACGAACCCAGGTAAGCTCGTTACTTGACTTCTCATGTTTCCTGTCCATGAAATGGAGGTAATACCCGTCTCACAGGTTGTTGTAAGGAATGTTAATTTTCACATACACCAACAGGCATCTCGGCTCAATATAAGAAAGCCCTTTCCCAGAGAAACAGCTACCTCAAGCCCGGAGAGGTTGTCACAAGTAACAGAAAGAGGTCCTTTACCCATGCCTAGGAGAAAGCCCGCCAGCCTAGTGGGACAAGAGGGGATTCGGGATTCGGGATTGCCAGACGTAGCACATAAAAATACGGGATGCCCAGTTCAACATAAATTTCAGAGAAAGAAGGAATGACGTGTTGGTACAGTGTAGTATAATACAAAATCATTCGTTGTTTATCTGAAATTCACAGTGAACTGGGTGTCCCGTGTTTTATCTGGCAACCCTCGATTGGGGGCGCTTGGGTTCATTTTCCTATCCTGGGTCTACCGAAGGGACTCCCGCCTTCCCCGTCGCCTCCATCCGGAGCGGCGAGGCCAGCGGAGGAGAAGGGGTGGGGGGGGGAGGAGGAGGAAGAGGAGGAGGCGCTCCCCAGGCGCTGCACTAAAACCTCTCTCCGTCCGGAGAAGCCTGAGCCCCACACCGCTCACAAGGTCCAACGGCCCAAACCGCCGCCCCGGCGCGAGGCCCGCCAAGTACCTGCCTGGGCGGAGGACGCCCGCGCTCTGCACGCGCACACCCAACGCATGCGCCTACCCTCGCCCCGCGAGTCGCGTCCCGTCGCTAGGCAACGAGCGCGCGCGCCTCAGAACCCGAGACGGCGCACTGCGCAAGGGCAGGGCGCGCGGAGGGGTGAGCGCGGGGTGGGGCGCCGGGAGGGGGTGAGGCGTGGAGAACGCGCGGCGGAGAGGAGGGGGCGCGACAGTCGCGGGCAGACGGCGCGCGCGGGGTGTGGCGGGGGCGCCCCACAGAGGAGGGAGCGCCGGGGTGGGTGAGCAGAGACTCGCCACCTGGAGGCTGGGAGGAGCGGGCGGCCGAGAAGAAGAGTCGAGCCGGCTGGGAGGCCGGCGCGCACTGGGAGAGACGGAGGGGCGGCGGGCTCGAGGGGAGGAGCCGCAGGGGGGCCACCTGCTCACCCAGGCGGGAAACCCCCACAGCCCCCCGGCCGGAGGAGACGATCCCCGGAGTTCGACGGCCCGGGGTTTTCGCGGCTTCGCACCTTTGAGATTGCTGGTGACCTCCGCTTGGTTCCTTTCAGAACCAGCTCAGGCGCCCCCACCTCCGGGAAGCTGTCCAACCTCCACCAGTCTTCCCTGACCTAGTGTTTTGTGTACAGCACTCTGCTAGCATTTCCCACGTTCTGTTTTAATTTACGTTGGGCAATGCTGGGCAGGAGAAGCCTCCTTAAACGTTGGTTGAGACAGTAAGTACCAGAGCGGGCACTGACAGATGGACGGGAGCTTGGGCTCTTGCCTGGGTTAGCAAGAGCCTTCACTGGATTAAGTCAAAAAATATGTCCTGAGCAACTACTGTGTGCCTAGCACTGGGGATATAGTGTCAACAAAGACCATCTCTATGCTTGTTGCCTTGCCTACCGAGTTGCAAGGCCATGAACAAGGAGGGGCAGTGTTAAGCTGACTCCCAGAGGAGCTCTGGGAAGAATAGGCCCGTCGGTCCGCCTTGGTAAGTGTGCCTGGTGATTGTGGAGAGAGGACTGTAAAAGGCATCCCTTTGGCCCCCTCCCTCTCCTGGCCTCACACTGTGGCTCTGTTATTCTGTCTCTACTGTCTTTGCATCAAGTTTTAGTAACTGTCAGGTCCCCTATTTCATTGAGACCATTGTTGAAAACGTGCCATTTAGAGCAGAGGCTTGCTCCAGAAAGCGTTTGCCATACCTACACAGAGAAGCAGGCATTTGAGGGTTGGGAAGTGGAGAGCTTTTCTGGAATGCAGAGTTGGTGATCTGTAGATCTGTAACTGAATCACCCAGGGATTTTGTTAGAATGCAGAATCTGAATATGTAGGTGTGGGGTGGGACCTGAGAATCTGCATTTTGACAAGCCTCCGGGTGATGCAATGCTGCAGATCATGGACCACACAGGGGACTCAATCCCAGGACCCTGAGATCATGACCTGAGCCGAAGGCAGACACTTAACCAACTGAGCCATCCAGGTGCCCCCCGAATTTAGTGGCTTTAAACACGCATTTATTCTCTTGGCAGTTTTTGAAGCCAGAATCAAAAATGAGTCTTACAGGGCTAAAACCAAAGTGTCAGCAGGGCTGGTTCCTTCCACAGGCTCTAGGGGAGAATCCATGTCCTTGCCTTTTCCAGTTTCACAGGCTACCCACAATCCTTGGCTCAAGGCCCTGAATCACATCACCTTGTCTCTCTCAACTTCCACCATCACATCTCCTTGTTCCCTGTCTGACCTTACTGTGTCCCGATTATAAAGACCCTTGGGATTACAGTGTGCCTCCAAGGATAATCCAGTATCATCTTCCCATATAAAAATCCTTCATCACATCTGCGAAGTCCCTTTTGCCAGACAAGGTAACAGATTTCTTAGGTTCCAGGTATTCAGACACTTTGGGAAGCCATTACTCAGTCCAACCACACTGTGTATTTCCAAAGAAAAATTACATTTTCTTACTCATATTTCAGTGATCCAAACCAGGATATTTAACCTTGATACACTTTTTTGGGGGACGGGGAGGGTGGGGGAAAGGACATGAGGGCAAGCAGGGAGAGGGGCAGAGGAAGAGAGATAGAATCCTAAGCAGACTTCACACTCAGCACAGAGCCTGACGTGGGGCTCAATCTCACGACCCTGAGATCATGACCTGAGCCAAAATCAAGAGTCAGACACTTAACCGACTGAGCCACCAGGCGCCCCAACCTTGATGCACTTCTATTATGTCATGTACAATTCACATTCAGTTTCCCCAACAACACTTTATAAAATTCTTTTTTCTAGTTCAGACTCAATCCAGAACCATGTGTTCCATGCATTTGTTAGGCCTGTTTAGGCTCCTTTGATCTGGAATGGTTCCTCCTCTTTTTTTGTCTTTCACGATCTTGACATTTGTAAGAGTACAGGCCAGTTCCAGACTGTCTCAATTTGGCTTTGTTCGTATCTCCTCAGTTAGATTCCAGTTTTGCATTTGGGCAAGAATCCACAGAAATATATTTCATCCCCCTAAGAAGTGCATCCCATCAGGAGACACATGATGTCACTTTGTCGCTTTCTTAGTGATGTTTCCTTAGATCGCTTGATTAAGGTTGTATCGGGTGGGGGCGCCTGGGTGGCTCAGTCGTTAAGCGTCTGCCTTCGGCTCAGGTCATGATCCCAGGGTCCTGGGATCGAGCCCCGCATCGAGCCCCGCATCGAGCCCCGCATCGAGCCCCGCATCGAGCCCCGCATCGGGCTCCCTGATCGGCGGGAAGCCTGCTCTCCGTCTCCCACTCCCGCTGCTTGTGTTCCTGCTCTCGCTATCTCTGTCTCTGTCAAATAAATAAATAAAATCTTTAAAAAAAAAAAAAAGGTTGTATCGGGTGGGTCTCACCACTGTAAAGTTCCTGTATTTCCTTTTGGAATTAATACATAATTTGTGGGGAGAAACTTTGAGGCTATATGAATATCCTATTCTCTATCAAATATTCATTGAGTTTTAGAACTCACTGTTGATTCTGGCTTGATGCAGTTATACTATGATGGTTACAAAATGTTGATTTTTTTTTTTAAACTCCATTGTTCTTCCCATGTTTATTAGTTGACATTCTAACTTAAGAACTTGCCTTCTCTCCCATTCACTCACTTACCAATTTTTTCTTATATTGATTCACAGATTTTTTATTTTCCCCAATTAGTTATAATCCATTATAGCCAATACTTATTTCAATGGTCTAATTGCACTAGATTGGGCGAGTAGCCGCCCAATCTGCTGGCTCCTGTGTCCTTAACCACTTATTTTCTAGCATTTTTCTACTTTGTGGGACAAGAAAATGCTCCAGGCTTCTTGGACCTTTCCTGCCCCGACCTTAGAATTCAGCATTTCTCCAAGGAACCCTGATTGCTCTTAAGTGGTGAAGGCTATTTCAAAACAAGTTCCCTATGCTCAGTGTGCTCATTGCTACTTAAGTGTTTTTGCCTCTAGGCTTTTGCAATGAAAAGAGCTTGGAAATATATAACTTTTCTCTATATACATATCTATGTATCTTTCCTTCCTTAAACTGAAAAACACCTCCAGAAAATGTTAAGACTGGAACCGAGCCTTTATCATTCACTTTTTTATTAACTCTTTTGGACTTAAAATGTGTAAACTTCAGAAATATGGAGGTGATCAGAAATAGGTGTTAGTCCGTTGTATGTCACAGTCTTCCACTATAATAGCTAATATTTATTAAACACGTACCAGGGCACCTGGGTGGCTCAATCGGTTAAGAGTCTGCCTTCGGCTCAGCTCATGATCCCAGGGTCCTGGGATGGAGCCCTACATCAAGCCCTGCATCAGGCTCTCTGCTCAGTGGAGAGCCTTCTTCTCCCTCTCCCTCTGCCCCTCCCCTCTGCTCGTGCTCTCTCTCACTCTCTCTCTCTCTAAGTAAAAAATCTAAAATATATATGTATATATTTATTAAACACCATGTGCCAGGCTAAGTGCTTTACATGTATTTGTTATCTCTTCTAACCCCCACAATTATGAGGCCAATATCTTTATTATTTTGTTCTACAGATGAGAAAACCAAGGCTCAGAGAGACCGGATGACTTGTTGAAGATCACACAGCTATAAGCGGCAGCACCAGGACCGGAACTAGGTCTGTCTGTTCCCGGAGTCTGTGTTCAGACCGCGGCTCTACACGGCCACCCCTAACTTATGGTCTGACTCAGGCTACGTTGCCTCCAGCTCTGGAAATCTGATTAATAGTAAATGCCGGGGCATCAGCTCAACCTCAAGTAGTTTCTTGCTTGAGCACTAGAGTAGAATAGTGTGTTACGCCCTGGGAGAGCTCATGAGCTCGGGTAGCTACAGTGCCTGCCATCCTCCCTCCCTCTGCTCCCCAGGGCTGCTCCGTGGCCCCTTCTGAAATAACTAAGCCTCTCTTATCTATGTCACAGATAACCTTCCAACTTCACAATAGCACAGCTTGCTGGGTCCTTAGAGCCCCTCTTGGGACCTCCTGCCTGCGAAATTATTTCCTCCCTAGAGATGTGTGGGTAAGTGGAGACCTTAGCCACCCCTAACCACAACTATATCAAGCTCCCCTCCGGCCTCATGACCCCCAGGACCTATTTATTATCTGACCTAAGACAGTCGGAGAGCTTTAAAAAAAAAAAAAAAAGTCCATTTAAATGTAAGAGCAATTGGCAAGTGTATATTTACTGTTTCTTTTGGGAAGGGTGGCATCCAGAAGTATCTCATATGTATCCTGAAATGAATCCGAATCGACTAGCATGTGTTTATTTTAAAAATCAGATTCGATTTATAAACTAGTGTGACCCCGCTGTGCTGTTTGCCAGGCCCACAGGATGGAAACGGACTACCTGAAGAGGTGCTTTGGCAATTGCCTGAGCCAGGCACTGGCAGAGGTGGCGAAAGTTCGGCCCAGTGACCCCGTCGAGTACCTGGCTCACTGGCTTTATCATTACAGGAAAATCACTAAAGCAAAAGAAGAGGTGTGTATGTGCTCAGAGCCATCTTGGGGAGGGCTTTCCAGCTTTCTCACGGTAATTTGAAATCCAAAGCAAGATTCCAGAGCTAGCCCAGAAAGTTTCTTGGTTTGTTCGACTTGTGAGATCCCTTAGGCCCAGATATTCCTGAAGAGTGGGGAGTCTGGGGGCTGAAGAAGGACTCCAACTCAGAGGAGTTGAGGGATTGGTGGGTTTGGAGCTACTAGCAGGCAAAAGCTGGTCATAGGAGCAAACAGGGCCCCAGGCCTGTGGTCTGTGCCAGTGAGAGCAAGCCCATTTGTACAGGCTTCCCAGGGGCCGACTTGACTCAGCTCCCCTCTCACCTCAGGAGAGCCAAGAGATGATCCAGCTGAAGGAAGAACACGACAATAGCCTCAAAGAAACCAAAATGACAGAAATGCTGAAGCAAGAAGAGTGTCAGATTCAACAGCAGTATGCAAAGTGCCACAAGGTAGGGAGGGAGGAACCCAGCAGCGGGCAGGTGCACAGCCCAGAGCTGGATACCAGGAAATCCACAGGCTGGCGAGGCTGCAGCACCCAGCGGACTGAGGCTCCAGAGCTTGCTTCTCTCCGTCTTCTTGTGTTTATATGTCCCCAATCTTATTGACAATCCTGGTCAAGGAAAAAAGGAAATGTCGAAAGGCAATTCCATTTTAGATTTCAGGAAATACCTTAGATGTTACTCATTTTAAAAAATCCGATTTTTAAAAACTCATAAGTCACTTGGAACTAATATATTTCCTTAGAAGATCCTTTGAACCCTTTTCAAAACTTATTCAGTACTTCAGAAGCCAAATATGGTTATCAGTGTATAATTCAAGTATATTATTTTATTTTCTGCTATATACCTCAGTGTTTTAGTTACTGTGTGCTATTTATTTATGTATCAAGCCACAGATTGTGTCTTCTCTGTGATGCTGTAATACTGGCTGTAAATTATTACCTTCTTGTAGTTGGAAACAGCTGTGTGTTCATTAGCCTGACAAGCGTATCTTTTACCTCCCACGACTTTTGCCACCATCTTCTGAAAAGCACCTCGTGCCAATGTTGTGCTTTCTACAAAGCGCATGATACCAGACAGGGAATCGACTCAGGGGGCTTGATATCTGACATTTTTCCAACTATCACTATATCCTATGCATTAAAATCTTCAGTGCAGTTTCGTACAGTTCACTAGCTTTTGCTAGTTTCCAAAGCCGCCTCTGACGAAGAGACATGAAACCACTTAGCTTCTGTATACTCACGCTAATATGCTTGACTCTCCTCAATAATTCATACATTTATTTTCCAAGTCTGGATGTTTTATGGGTAAATTAAGTCAAAAGAAAGGTAGTTTCATACTACCGTTTGTCACTAGTCTAAAGGAATTCTCACTCAGGAATAGTTCATTCTTTGAACAGGTGCCGGGAGAAGATAAACGGGAGGTCATGACGTGGAAGTTGTCATCCCCTTGTTGCCCCTTCCTAACACCATGCTTCCCTGTTAACAGAAATATCAATATTTTTAGTCAGGGAAAGACTTCCAAAACTCTACCCTGGTTTCATGATGCCTTTATTAAAGAAACCTTTGCTCACATTAATGTTTGGAATTGTCCCACTGAGTTGCACCCTGGAGGTTTTACGCCCTGCAGCAATATTCCTTTGCAAGATTTAGATGAGTAAAAGGTATGCTGTTCTTTCACCAAGTGTGAGACAAAGGCCATTGTCAGGGAAGTTGGGAATGAGAGCCAGAAGGATGCCTGGACTAAGAACAAGTTCTCCCTTTTAAGGAAGAACTCATCCACAAAATGTGATTATGGAAGTTGATGCCCTTTGTTAGAAGGAAACAGAGAGGCCCAACAGGGATCTTAAAACAAACTTACCAGGGAGAGCTAGTCCCATAGTGAAAATGGAAAGAACTGGGTAGAGGGCAAAGAAGTGAAGATCCCTCAGATCAGATGAGATTCTAAGTTTTCCTTTCTCCTTGGCTCAAGGCAAATTGCAAACTGTTCTTGCTCCTGGTCATTTTCAGATTTTAGTCACTAGTGCTATGACACCTGGTCTCAAATAGGCCCAGGATGGGTTGCATAAGATTTCAGCCAGCCTGCTGATGGGTTTTTATGCACATATGCAAAGCTTTGCAAAACTTCCCTTCATATCTTAAAACCATCATCGCTTGCATATACCTTAGAAAGCCTTTCAGTACCCCAGTGGATGTGTCAAAAAGAGGAGTAGAAACTGCTCTATGTGGGGTAGAAATCACATCCAATTATAGCACTCAAGAAGAGGAGATAACGTTTGAGTCAGACCTAGATGAAAGCTAGCAAAAGTTGCCTTTGTATTGGTTTCTCTTTATTAAGCTGAGGCAGTTTTGAGTAAGTCAGCCATGATTCTAAGTTTGAAAACAGTCCCTTTGTTTATAAAGATGTAGCCATACAAATTTTTATAAATACATTTTTATGGGGTCAATACATAGATTTGCTGCATATAGTTAGAAGGGTCTTACAGATCACATGGGCAAATATTTCACAGACCTCTCTGCAGTGCCCCAGGATCCATTGTACATAGTATCCCCTGGACAGTGCACAAAATGGAAGTAGAAGTGGCTGGGAGAGCTTAAGCTCCAGAGATTCCTCCCTAACCAGGGACTGCAATCACATAGATGTAGACTATGGGATATCCTCTTATAGCTCACTGAGACCGAATTTATTTTTTCCATCTTTTTTCTCTGTTTTAGTTAGGATCATTTCTACTGATCTGCCTTCAAGTGTACTGACCTCTTCTCCTACAATGCCCAGCGTGCTATTTAGGGAGTCAGTGAATTTTTTCATTTTAGATATTGTACTTTTCAATTCTATAATTTCTATCTGGTTTCTTTCTATAATTTCCATTTTCTCTGCTTATCTACCCTAACTTTTCACTCATTATGCCCATTTTTTCCTCCTTTAAATGTTTGAAAATATTTGTCATAGCTATTTTAAGTCCTTGTCTGCCGATTCCATGATCATTGTCATTTTGGGGTCTCTATTAAATACTTTTTTTCTAGAATATGTTTTGCATGTCTAGTAATTATTACTTGTGTGCCAAACATTGTAGATGATACTTTGTAGGGAATCTAGATTATGTAGCTTTCCTTTAGATGGTGTTGAGTTCTGTTCTGGCAGGCAGTAGAATTATTGGCAAATCATCTTGATCCTTAATCCTTGATTTGTTTTATACTTTGCTAGAGCAGATCTGTTACAATTTTGTTATTAGTCTTGGGCACAAAAATGGCAGTGTTGTGTTCTTGGCATACTGAGTGTGTTTCAGTCTCTGCTAATGACTTGCTTTTTTGTTTTGTTTAGCCACTGGTATCTCTAGCTAGTTCCACAAAGAAGACCGCATTCATACAAGAGAACACAAAACCCCTTGAGAAGGATGCCTTGAAGCAGGAATCTCTGCCAGGTACTTCCAATATGATTCCAGGAATGCCTCAGTAGATTCCTTCTCGAGAGTCTTCTGGCCAGACTGACTGCTGTGTCGAAACTCCCCAAGAAATAAATTCCTAGGCTTTTCAGCATGAAATTGCTCCTCAAATGCATCCTGGCTCCAAATCTCCTTCTTAAGTTATCAAAAGGTGGATGATTCTCATGACGCTTCTCTCAAAGCTACAAACTGAGAAAATGGCCAGCTAGGGCCCTGACCTCAAGATGGTAACTATGTGAATTAAACCAAGATTGGAGGGGCTGTGAAAGGAGGTATCTTGGGGGATGGACTCTCCAGCCGAGGTTCTGTTCTGGTAGCTATGAAAATCCCTTAATCATGTAAGCATTTGAACTACTGATAGGATAAAATAAACTCATAAGGATTTCAAATAAGTAACCAAAAGACTTTTTCCTCTTGATTTATCTTTTTTTTTTTTTTTTTGTATTAGACAGTGAAAACACATCCATCTCATCATGTGTTCAAGTCTTGACTTTAGGTGAACTTTCCAGTCTGGCCTAGAGTGTTTACACATGTCCTAGAGTGTGCCTGCGTCACTGACAACAGGTATTTTAAAACAGCTCCGATGACAGTAAAGCTCAAAGGGAGGGTGTCATGGGAGGTGGCATTCGGGTCTGTCAGGAGCTCACACACTTGACTGCTAGGCTGTGTTGCCTCACGCTTACTGATAAAGGAAGTCTAATTCCCCTGTCCATGGACATTTTGCTCCAAGTCAATTACAGTCTTTTTCTTACCTCTTAGATGAAATAAAATCTTCAAAGAACTTTCAAATGATCATCGCTATCCAGAAGCATTTAAGCCCACTCATGCATATTTTATTGTCTTGATTATCAGCCAAAATTAACTGATGCTCTAAGCATTTGCGATCCCAAACAGGATACTTCAGAACTTCATCTTAGATCCTTCTGAGATGCTGTTATAACCATGAAAGTCATAAAGTCCATAAATTAAAGTTTTTCCCAGTGACAGAATAACATCTTCTAGTAAAAATATTCTTTTGGGTAATTAGTACTGATTGATGTCATTCTTATATTTCTGTATATTGTAAGTATTTTTCAAAAGGTGGAATAATATCCTATGGGGAAATAAATACCCCTTTTCTATCTTTGGAAAGAAAATAAGAAGGATGACTTTTTTTTTTTTTTTAAAGATTTTATTTATTTATTTGAGACAGAGAGAATGAGAGACAGAGAGCATGAGAGGGAAGAGGGTCAGAGGGAGAAGCAGACTCCCTGCCGAGCAGGGAGCCCGATGCGGGACTCGATCCCGGGACTCCAGGATCATGACCTGAGCCGAAGGCAGTCGCCCAACCAACTGAGCCACCCAGGCGCCCAAGAAGGATGACTTTTGAAGAACAAATACAAAAGCTATGCTCTCACAACCAGATATGTTCAGAATATGAAAATGAAATAGCTTGTATTAACCAACAATGTGGCTTTAAGAAGATGCTTGTCAACAAAGAAAAACTGGTGAATGATTTTCATGGTAGGATTAAAATTTATGATTTGTGTGAAGGTAGTTCAATGCTTGAGCCAACAACTCCTCAAGGAGGCTTACAGCTGAGTCATCTTTCATGTCTCATATTAGTAAAGGGAAAGTCCTCTTGGTCTTTCTGCTTTCATGTTTGAGTTCTGTTTGTCAAGAAGAAACTTATTCTGATGTCCTTCAGCAAAAGGCAAGTCCAAATGTCACAGAAAGAAGAAAATTTTAGTTAGCATTCCCAGAAAGCAGATCTTTGGAAGCCATGGTCAGAAGTCATGCTGGGACCAGATGGGGTTTCTTGGGTCTGCTGTCCTCTAGAGTCATGGTCAAAAGATACTCATCCAAAGAAATGATTATAAAAGGAAACAATTCTTTGGTTGCCATTGTCCAAAAGGATAACCTTCAGGAATAAAATGACAGGGTCCAAAGATATCACTGTCTGAAAATATCACACGTATAGATAAGTTTAGGCAAAGTGAAATGGAATGATCAAAAATATCAATATCAAGAAATGTATGGTTCATAGATAGGGGTTGTTGGGGCAAAAATTACTCCATAAGAGGCACTAGAAAAGAAAAATCCACATATAATGCCAAGAAGGTAGAAATTCATGAGAAATCATTGCCCCTAATGATGAAACCCATGGCTATTTCAGCCAGACTGCAATCATTCCCCACCCCTCCCCTCAAAAAGTCACTCCTAGGAACATATTCCAGAGCCAGAATGGGCCAGAATGAACTATCTCCAGATCATTTGTCTGGAGAAACTAACTACATGGATGCAAATAGCTGAGAAGAGACTTTGCAAGAATTATCACCAGGGGAGATAAATTCTACAGATGAGCCTGATCAAGGAAAAACCTTCATGAATAATGACCAATAGAAACCAATTTTATGAGAAAAGATAGCCCAGGAAAAATTCCTCAATAGTCATCACTGTCATAATCAGTATGTAAAATCAGTGTTTATGGACTCCTCAAAAACCAGTTTCTGAATAAAGAGATTCTATGAATAAAATTAGCCAGAAAATAATTAGCCCAGGAGGGTCTCTTGGAGGCCTGAGATCCTTGGAGAAACATATTCAAGACAAGGCTCTTCAAAAAGTAGTGCATGTAGGGGTGCCTTGTTGGCTCAGTTGGTAGAGCATGCGACTCTTGATCTCAGGGTCATGAGTTCAAGCCTCATATTGGACATGGAGCCTGCTTAAGAAAATTTTTTTAAAGTAGTGTGTGTGCATTTGTGTGCATGTGTGTGCATGTGTGTGTGTGTGTGTAGTTCATTTTTTTTAAAGAGACATGCTTGGGGCACATTCTTTAAGTGACATCAATGGATATCTCATCAGTGGGCAAATGTGACGGGGACCAGTTCCCCAAGCTTCTCCCTTGGGGAGGCTCTTATGTAGAAAAGATGATGACAAAGATATGATCTCTCGCAAGTCTATTCAGGAGCAATTATATCCAATTAACAGAAATCTGGAAGGAAATTCCCCCCAAAATTCTGGTCTGAAAGAAGAGTTCCCTTTAGGACATAATTACAGAGAAAATGGCATTAGAAAAAGAAGCTTCCACCAATAGGATTGGCCAGAAAAGAAGACATTCAGAAAATTTGTGCAGAAAAATAATGCCTAAAGATCAAGATGTTCAGAACAAAACCTCAAAAGAGGCCAGCTCTGAGGGATGGTTTGTTGAATCACTGAGAAATGACAAAACTAAGTAAATCTTGAAATTGGGAGGAATTAAACCAATGCATATAAGGGCAAGCCCCTGGGCAGAGTTTCTTGGGATTACTCTTCATGAACAACAGGTTTACCTGTTGTTCTGCAGGACAAGAGGTTCTGCAGGACAATATCCCAGAGAACATGACTTTAAACAAATTAGTGTCCATCTCCAGATCCCTTCAAAACAAAATATCAAAAGAATTACCGTTGTCATGGGTAAAGCAACTAAGTAAAAAAACCTAAATAAAGAACAACTTTCTCAGCAAATGTCACCACGAATAGTAATATATAAGTCTGGTCAAATAATGCCATCTGGAGATTAAAAGTTTCAGGTATAAGATTAGTCAGGATAAAAATTTTCCAAGTGATTCTTTAGAAGAGGAGCAAGTAATGAATACTTTGAGCCAGGGCAATTCTCCCCAGCATATGCTGTCAGCAAATCTATGGAGAGGATCCAACTCAGTGAAGTTCACTGGCAAACATTAACCAAAGGAAAAAAATCTTTAGAGAAAGATAGCCAAGACAAATGTCTTAGGAATCGGGAGTAGTTTGGAGGAAGGCTGACCTGCCACTGAGCTTACAATACCATCTGCCTGGGCCCATCAGGAGGAAGTGCTCAGCATTGTCTCTCCCATGGAAATTACCTCTCCCGAAAAAAGTTTCAGGGCATGTATTCCCACAGATGTCATCTTGTAGTGCAAACTCCATAGTCAGTGTTACCCAAGCTAAAGCTTTAGTGGAAGGTCTTCCTCAGTATTCTATGACCCTTTCCTATATGGCCATGAAGGCATGAAGTTTTTCTCCACTTCAAGTTTAATTTGTTTACCTTTCGTCCTTCAAAGACAATCTTTTCAAGAGTTTTCACAAGATCTACAATTGCCAATTTATGGAAACAGCCCAATTCTCCATTGACTGATGAAAGGCTAAAGAAGATGTGATATGCACACACAATGGAATATTACTCAGCCATACAAAAAGAATGAAATCTTGCCATTTGCAACAACATGGATGGAGCTAGAGAGTATTATGCTAAGGAAAATAAGTCAGTCAGAGAAAAACAAATACCATATGATTTCACTCATATGTGGAATTTAGAAACATTACAAACATGCAAAAGGAAAAAAAGAAAGAGAGAGAAAGAGAGAGAGAGACCAAGAAACACTCTTAACTACAGAGAACAAACTGTTGGTTATCAGAGGGGAGGTGGGTGAGGGATGGTGAAATAGGTGATGGGGATTAAGGAGGACACTTGCTATGATGAGCACTGGGTGATGTATGGAAATATTGAATCACTACCTTGTACACCTAAAACTAATATTACACTGTATGTTAACTAACTGGAACTTAAGTAAAAACTTTTAAAAAAGTTTTCACAAGAGAGAACTCCAGACTCAGATTAACAAAGATGATACATCTCAGCAAACAAAATCGAAAGTCATGGTGCCATAGAATGAGGTCAGTCAGAAGGAAGCACCCAAAGAATGACTCCTAAAGACTTCCCTTTAGAAAGAGACGAAGTTCCCAAAGTGTTACAGCCTTCAGAAACAAGTCAGCAGCTGAGCGGGGATGTTACCGAATTGCTTCTCCAGCAGAAGTAGATAGATGTTGGAGGTAAGGCCAGGGAACAGACACCACTGAGAAGAGATGAAAGAACCCAGCCACACTTCACGAGGAAGTTTCATCATGAGAGAGAAGTTCCTTGGAGGCTGTTAATCAAAACCGAATTGCTCCTCATATCCCCCTACTCTGCTTCAAATTCCTTCTTAAAAGTGGTTATTTTATAGGTAACTATAACTTTCTACTGTGCTTAAGTGATATTCCTTAGACATGAAGAATAATGGTGAAGGGCGCCTGGCTGGCTCAGTTGGTAGAGCATCGACTCTTTATCCCAAGGTCGTGAGTTCAAGCCCCACGTTGGGCGTGGAGCCTACTTAAAAAAAGAAAAAAGAAAGAAAGAAAAGAAAAAAGAATAATGGTGAAATCATCTAAGAAACTCTTAATAGATTATCAATAAGAAGTGTAACAAAATATCAGGCCTAAAAGTGCATCAAATACTTCAGAAACTCCAGAAGAAAAAGTAAATGACTATATGGGTACCTAATGAAGAAATGAGAGGCATGTAGGCCCTTAGCTCAATGAGGATTGGAGACAAAACAAAACAAAAAAAGAATTGATAATGAGGTTGGTCAATTTCTACTTGATTTTCCCCTCA